AATCAACTTGTTGGTCTAATACCATCATCTCTTGGAGGATTAACCAGTCTGACATTTTTAGACCTCAGTTTCAATTCATTAAATGGCTCCATCCCCCCAGAAATTGGGAAATTAACAAATCTCACTTATCTCGGCATAAGTGAGTGTCAACTTGTTGGTCCACTCCCTCCAACTTTGGGTCACCTGACAAATTTGAGAAACTTGAATCTTCGTGGGAATCAATTCAATGGATCCATACTACCAGATTTTGGAAAACTAACAGATCTCATTTCTCTCAACCTACGGGGGTGTCAACTTATTGGTCCACTCCCTCCATCTTTGGGTCACTTGAAAATTTTGAAATACTTGATTCTTGGTGATAACAGTTTAGGGGGTACAATACCTTCATCTTTGGGTCTCCTGTCCAATCTGAGGTGCCTGGGCCTTCTTGGAAATTCTTTTGAGGGCCCCATCCCTCCAAACATAGGAAATCTACCTAATTTGGAAGTTTTGATTCTTGGTGGAAATAATTTAACGGGCCAAATCCCTTCATCTCTTTCTAGTTTATCTAATTTGAGAGTTTTGAACCTTAGTTTGAATCATTTACAAGGTTCCATTTCTTATGCAATAGGAAATATGAACAATCTAAAAATTTTAGACCTTGGTGGTAACCATTTCACTGGTTCTATTCCTTCCACTCTACTACATCTAACCAATTTGGACATCTTGAATCTTGATTCAAATCTTTTAGAAGGTTCAATACCCATAGAGATAGGGCATTTAAAACTTTTGCGATATTTGGATCTTTCCCAAAACAGATTGTCTGGACCCATCCCAACGCAACTTGCGAATTGCTCCATTTTAAGTGAGGTGTCATTGAGCCACAATTTCATTAGTGGAGAGATACCTTCACAACTGGGGGATTTACTATGGTTGAGAACCTTGAATCTTAGTTACAATGATCTCTCAGGCCAAATCCCAAATAACTTGCGTTATTTTCCAAATAGCTCTTTCATAGGCAACAAGGGATTAGAGCATCATCTTACTTACCCAAGCAACAAAGTGCAGAGATATGTTAAAATTATTCTTCCTATCACCATTTTTCTTGCCATGGTATCTCTAGCACTGTTGTTGCTTTTTCAAAGAATAAATGGATCTCAAAGCAAGGCAGCATATTCAAGTCCAACAAAAAATGGAGATATATTCTCAATATGGAACTTTGATGGGAAGATTGCATATGAAGACATCATTGCAGCAACTGAAGACTTCGACATTAGGTATTGCATTGGTACCGGTGGTTATGGTAGTGTTTACAGAGCACAGCTACCAAATGGAAAAGTAGTTGCCTTAAAGAAACTTCATAAGAGGGAAGCAGAGGAGCCAGCTTTTGACAAGAGTTTCAGAAATGAGGTTAAGATGTTGACAGAAATACGACATAGGAACATCGTCAAGCTTCATGGGTTTTGTCTCCATAGACGATGCATGTTTTTGATCTATGAATACATGGAAAGGGGAAGCTTGTTCTGTGTCCTTAGAGATGATGCTGAAGCTATGGAATTGGATTGGATCAAAAGGCTGAATATCATAAAAAACACAGCATATGCCTTGTGTTACCTTCACCACGACTGCATCCCACCTATCCTTCATCGGGACATATCAACAAACAACATTTTGCTGAACTCAGAGTTGGAGGCTTTTGTTTCTGACTTTGGAAATGCTAGGCTTTTGGATCCTGATTCATCTAATCATACTATACTTGCAGGCACCTATGGTTATATTGCCCCAGGTTTTTTCTATCAACATAACAACATTATTCTTCTATTGTCTTATTTCACTATTTACTATTAAATTGACATGTGAAATATGCAATTTACCTATGCAGAACTTGCTTATACAATTGTTGTGACTGAGAAATGTGATGTTTATAGCTTTGGGGTTGTAGCATTGGAAGTGCTAATGGGAAGGCATCCTGGAGAACTGCTGACATTGTTATCAAAACCATATTCTTTGCAAAATGTGATGCTAAGTGATGTATTAGACACACGTCTATCACCTCCAAGAAGCAGAACTGTTACCCAAAGCATTGTTGTTGCTGTTATGCTTGCATTGGCTTGCTTGCATGCAAAACCCAAGTCCAGACCAACAATGAAATATGTGTCTCAACAATTTGTTGCCCGCCAAAGGCAACTTTTGAAACCTTTTCCAACTATTTCTCTATTGGAACTTGTAAGTACTGATTTGGGGATGGAAAATGGAAGAGAACCTCAACCAGAAGTTGTATTGGAACTTGCAAAACTAAATACTGATTTGGGGATGGAAAATGAAGGAGAACCTCATTCAGAAGTTTCATGTCATCCAGACATGTTCGATGGTTCTTCCTCAAATTAGATCCAATTGAATTTCCTTGTCCTTCTTTTTGGTTTTTTTTTTTAAAATAAATATGGTTGTCTATTTCATCCTCAAATTAGATCCAATAGAGCTTCCTTGTCCCTTTTTTAGAAATAAATAAATATATATATTTGTCTTTTTCATGCTTTACTTTTCCGTATTAATACGTTGAAATAACATCCTTGGAATCAAAGACCACCTTGTTTTGTATATTTCTCATCAAGAGTATTACAAATTTTTTGTACTGAAACACATGAATGCACCGACGCAAAGTTCGGCACTCAGCAGAAGAAATTGGCTGTATTTTTCTTTAAAAGAATGCAGACTGCATCATGCTGTACCATGGAAACTATTGTCCCCAATTGCTTCAACCAACCTTGTTAGCATAGGCACAAAAGATGTTAGACAAGCAATAAAGAAAGGGCATTAACTTTTTCAAAACACGGCATATGCGACAAAAGAGCCTTCTCAATGTTTATCTCGATTGCGGAGAGCCTATTAATACACTTCTGCCCCAAAAGGAAAATATCTAGGCTTACCAGCATAACTATTAGATGGACCAGGGAAAGAATGTAAAATAAAAATACACGTAACGTATGGGCGTAGATTTTTTTTGAAGTGAATAAAAGTTGAATGCTATGGATCTGTTGCTACAACATTGCCGCACCATATATTCTGTCTTGCGGAAAATAATTGTCCAAACTAGAAGAAAACTAGAAATTTATTAAGTCGGGGATTTTGTGTCTTTATGTGTTTGGGGAATGGGCTTTAATGCCATAAAGCATGTCACTTATCTGTTCAAAATCATCCATGGTACTATAGCAACTAACAAGTGAAATTATGATTTATTTACCAAAAAAAAAAAATGAGAGATAATTTTATGATTTTTTTTTCTTTCAAAATATTTTTGAAATTGGACAAACATGAGGGTAAAATTGTCGTTTCATGTTTAAATTATAAAAGTAGAAAGGTTTAAACTCTGTTTTTTAGTTTATATATACTAATGAAAAAAAATACTCTCCTAAATAGTCCCCTTGAAAAAAGCATATATCCATTCGTTAGGCTTAGTCATTGCGTGCAATTGAAAGAAATTTCCACTGAATAATCAAAGTTCGCAAAAAAAATAACTTGCTGACAGGTTTTGGTCCCTTAAAGCAGCAAGTCAAGGGTCATGAGCGACTATGTGCCAAGACAAATGCAATATATATAGCTCTCTCTGGCCCCTCCCATGCGCAACGTCATGGTTACTTATTTCCAACAAGAAAATTTAGTCATTACAATAACAAAGAATTCAATTACTGAGTTTTGTCTTTTCACGCAATTTTCCAAAGGGGCAGCACTATTTTCAGACTTTAATCACGGATCACTATTTTTTTGACCATCCACAATCCCTCACAATTTCAATGTTCATAAAATATTCACCCGTATTCAATGGCATTTCATGTAAATTTTGCCTTTCTTTTTGGTTTTTGGGTAACTTCAGGAGTGAAAATGTAGTGTTCACGCGCGGATACCGTGGCGAGCTCAGGTTGTTTTGTAATTTTTCCCTCCTCTTTGGTTTTTGTGTAATTTCAAAGGCAAAATAAAGTCGACTCCTTAATTACATTTACTCTAATCAAGTAATCTTAACAGTCTTAGAACCACGCCTTTAAATCTAATGGTTCAACTTCAAACCTTAAGTGCTTGGATGAGGTGGTCAAAGTTTCGAGTTCTACCACCGTCGTGAACTCCATTAACAGCGGCTCGATAGTTGCGCGCTTCATTTGAAGGGGTGAAATGTTTATCCAGTCTGGGGATCGAATCCCAGTTGGTAACTACCAATTCAAAACTAATTTCCTAACCATTATCCTTATAAAAAAAAAAAATCTTAACAGTCTTTCTTTGAAAAACACCTATTGATACTTTAATTTTTAGTTTTTATTTTTTAAAAAAATATATAAAATATTAATTAAAATAAATATTAAATATATTTTATATATTTTAAAGGCATTAAAAGATTAAAAAATTTATAATTACATGTACAAGCTAATAACGTACCATATGATCAAAATATGTTAAGGTCATCAATTGGGTCAATCGAACTAATTGTTCTAGAAAAATTAAGAATAGTGATCAAAAGTTTTAAACTACGAGAAAATACAATCATGAGTAAAAGCAATTGTAAAAAAAAAAAAAAATACTAAGATTAAAAGATAACAAAATTATCAATGAATGTTTTTAAAATCGTATATTTTCAGCATTAAAAATTATTGAAAAATAATATATTCATGGATTTTTAAGCTACAAATTAGGCAACAACTAGCCAGTGAGAAGGAGAGAGTGATTGGAGTTTCCTTTGAGTGATTGGAGTTTCATTTGGGTGGTTAGAGTTTGGCGAAAGGGAATGAATAGGAAGGGAGGATTTGAGAACGACTCCAGGGAGTAAAAAGAGGGATGATACAGAAATTATTTAGAGACAAGAGGACTCTTTTTTTATTATAGAAATAGAAGAAATAACAGGTTAAATAACAAGTCACTGGACTGTGTGACAAGTCATGTAGTTCGTTGTCTAGTTCGCAGCTTAAAAATTGCTGCACATATCATTTTCCAAAATTTATGACAGTTTCCAAACGTAAAATAAAAGAAGGTTTGCGTAAAAGAAAGTCATGACCGACTGTATGCAAAGAAAGACCAATGGAATACATGGCCTCTCTCTGGGCCCGCATAGGCAATTTCGTGGTTACTTTCTAAGATGAAAAATCAGTCACTACAATAACAAATAACCAAAGACCTGAATCGACTCTTAAAAGTCAAATTAGAAATTTCCACTAAACTGTTTCCTTGGAAAAGTTTAGTCATTGCGTGCAAGACATAGCCTTAATTGGAAGTGGGAAACGACCCACCTTTGTCCGCAAAAGAGAAGATGTATGAAACATGGATGCGTACGCATTGTGTGTTTAAAAAAAATAACTTTTTAACATTTTTCGAGTGATGGATATATATTCCTGCATATGATTGGCTTTGGGACACTGGCTAGCTTTATTAGATCAAAGTATTTTCCCTTAAGTTACACCAATTCCGTATGTATGGATGCTTGCTTCCCTTTTTCCTTGTAGGTGATATATTTTCTTCATGCAAATAACTTCCTTATTTGACCAAATTTGAAAAAAAAAAAAAAAAACAGTATTCCGTCTTCAAGTCCTTCTAATTTAGGAGAAAACAATTAGGCCATAGTATGTAGCCTCATCCATGAATCCAGCGGTCTCCCATAGGCAGCTCCATGATTACATTTTTGAGAAGAAAATTCAGTCATTACAATAACAAAGAATTAAAGACCTTCTCTTGTGGTGTGTCCTGTCCTCTTCATCCATGAACACAAAGTCTTTGATTCCAAAAGAAAGATTCGAGTTAATAAAAGAAATTTCATCCGACATCACTATTAAAACACGGTTTCCACGAAAGGAGGACAAGTGGTAAACAAAAGAGCCAAAACAGGATCACATCAAAGCAAAACCTACTTTCCACTAAATGGAAAAGATTAGTCAATGCGCGCAACGCATGGCCTTAACAGCACCGGAATTGGGAGACGACTGACTTTGGCTTCAAAACAAACAAAACAAAAGATGCTTGTGTAGACCTAGTCTCTTAAAATAAATTACCTTTAACATTTATTGATTGATGGAATCTTGCGTACAATGGGGTCACCTGCTATCTTTATTAAATAAAAAAGACATCCACTCGGAACACTTTCCTCGCTACATCCTGTTGATTCAAAAGGTAAACAAAACTTGGGCCTATTAATCATGATCTGCACCTGTTGCTTGCTACACCCACCACCCACCACCTTAATCTACCTTTGCACCTGAACCTAGCAAAACACTTCCAACTTAAAAATCAAACTTAACATGGCATTTTACATTCGCACTTTCGTGGAGTTATTAACATGGGCTTCCATATTTATCTGTTCTACAATTGGTATTGGCACTGGCAGCTCACTTGTGGCAGGGGCAACACCTGAGGCAGAAGCTCTGCGGAAGAGTGGGTGGTGGAATGCCTCTATCAACAACGTTGCAAAACATTGTAGCTGGCCTGGTATAACATGCAATCGTGCTGGGAG